GGGCGGAGGCGGCGGGGGCGGCGGAGGAGGGGACGATCTGCAGCTGCTGCTCTCGCTCGTGGTCGCCGTTGGCGGCCGCCTCGCCGCCGTCCGGGGCGGCGAGGAGGGGCGCGGGGGCCACCGTGGGGGTTCCCATCGGCGGCGGCGGCGGGGTCTAGGGTTTCGGCGGCAGATCGGAATCGATTGTGGGGGTGGGTGGGGATCCGGTTGGAGGGGTGCGGGCCGCAGATTTGGCAAGGTGAAGAGAAGAGGTCGGTCGGTTGGACTTGAGTTGGATCGGGCCAAGTCGAAGTCGGTCCGTCGACCGACTCGGCTCGAGGCTTTGGTACTTTGGTAGCACATTTTCATTTTTACTTTCCCCTTAATCTTTTTTTTTGCATGGTAATACGTGTCTCATTCATATCATAAAGAACAAAGAACAAAGTACAAGCCACGTAAAGACTGACATGACAAAACTGAAAAGATAGCAAAACATCTCTGAGCTTGACACCAACGTCCGTCACCTGCCTCCGGCACCACCACAGTAGCCACCGAAGAAAAGAATGACGAATCACCTTCTCACCCGAGCTCGACGCGGCTCCATCGCTGATATGCAGCTTTGCGGACCTCCAAGGTGGCTCACCAAAAGTGAAGCCCTTACCGTTGAACGAATCAGACCGGGGCAAACCCCGGACACGCCATCGAACTTCAGATCTAACACCCCACCACGACTAAAACGCCGAAAGAGGAAACCATATCTGCCATCCACGAACCACGAGCCCAGCAAATGCTCCGTCTTCCAGATGTCGTCGATGCAGACCACAATCTGCATCCGCTCCTGGACTACCTCCCAAGCTCCGCGCCGACGCTGGAGCAAACGTCGTCGCAACGGCGGAGCCCGAGGACACAGGTCCACCACGAGGATGCCGCCGCCACCACGCCATCCTTGCTTGAACAGAATGGTTTCTAAATTCATCCCCAACCATAGGACCGATAGCCTCGTTAGGAAAGGATTCGAAGAATCTTTATTCAGCGTTGTCATCGTCGCCGCCGAAGTAAAGACGATGAACAACCTAAAAACTTAGACTACGAGAGAGTAAAAACGATCCACACGCGTGGATCCGGCGACCCCCCTCACCACCGACGACCGAGGTCGCCGGCGGAGGGGAGCCGCCGGAGAGCGGCGTTGAAAGACCGGCCTCCCCTGGCGGCGGCTAGGGTTCCAGCCGCCAGGGACGAGAGGAAAACACGGACTCGTGAATTACACCGCTTCCCCTTAATCTATTTGATTTGGTGTATATATTGCTAAAAAAATTGATTTGGTGTATGTACATACTGGAGTACCCAGAAGACTTAATAAATAAGAAAATAAATGGTACAGATAGTTTTCATTCCAAATCCGCATCTGTATCGGTTTTTAAGGATATGGTATGCATAAGGATGAAAGCTTTCCGTCTAAAGCGTGTTACAGAAGGGCTAAAAATCAGACACCGGATTCTTGGGATTTGGAATCAAAATGTTTTTATCTACCAAAAAAATAAAAAAAATCAGACCAACCGAAAGGCTGATCCTCGTTGGCATTTTTTATAGGAGAAACTCCGTGAGCATTGTGCGTCCGAGTTGGGACTCGAATCTGGATGAGCTGGCAGCAACCTCAGCTGCCCATCCAACGGGTCGACATCGTGTCCTCAGACGCTTTTATCTACCATTGATCAGGTAACGGGGACCTTGGCGCGTGAGTGGCTGCCACATCGGGCGGCCGAAGCGAGTGAACGAGCTTCTTTCCTGAGATAATTACAACTACCGTCCTTGTGCTCTTCAGCTTGTAACACGATGGTTCTCAAACTCGTGGAGTGCTCTACTATGGTCCTCAAATATGCTTCAATATAGTCCTGGCTACATCTCTGGCTACACTCTGCAGCCCAGCCCGGCGGCACGTCAGCTTACAATACACGTGTGGTCCTGTATGTCAGCACATCAAAGAGGAATGCGCAAAAAATATGACTAAGGATGGATTCGAACCACAGACCAAACGCATACTAACCATCAAACTAGACTACACATCATGTTTAGCGATGATCTATAAATTCATAGGAGTATAAATAAGTTCCTATAATGCCTTCCGTAGCACATATAGTTGGGCCGACCCAGTAAGTAACGTACCTCTCTTTGTATTCTACCGGTTTCCTTTTTTATTTATTTACCAATTTCGTACCCCCACACCCCTACCCCTAAAAAACAATTTCATGTTAGGTCCAAAAAATCAATTTTGTGTTTCCCTAAAAAAATCGTGTTTATTTTCCCTTCTTATATTTATGAAAATTTATTAATATAGGTAAACTATGTATTAATAATTATTCTAGTTTTTACTTACATTTATTTTTAAAATGGGAAAAGTTAAAAAGGCGAACTTGAAAATTAAAAAAATTAGAAAATCTGCAATTGGGCGCATAGTTGGATAAAAATATAAATATTTTCTAAAACCATGCTGAGCGTTATACAAAATACGCTGTCAAGTTTTTAAATAGTTTCGTATTTTAAAAATACAATGAGGATACAAAATAAAAGCCCGAGCTTGTAGTCCTGAATGAAGATACATAAATTTTCCTACTTTTTTATGTTAAATCTAAATAATTTTTCTAAGTTCATGTTTACCTCTTGAAGGCATAAACTAATGAGAACAGATTATAGATCTAAAATGCATTACAACTGGATTTGTTTATATGAGAAATGGAAAAATAACATAAACTTGGTAAAATAAAATGAAAATAGAATAAACATCAGGAAAATTGCTTGAAGATATTTTTTTAAAAAGGTACGCTATGCCACTGGGCCGACTAAATTATATGTACTGCTAATGGCGTGATGCAAAAATGGATTTATACAGACTTTACACCAGTGTTTCACATCAGGAATTAACTGAATCAGTGGTTAGATTGGCTGTTTTCTAAAATTAGTCTCAGGTTTGAATCTCATGCGCACATTTTTTTTCCACCAAACTTCTCTCTCACATGCGGGGCCCACACTTGTATGGTATTATAGGGAGAAGCAGGAGATGTAGGCAAGACCGTATTGGAGTGTATTCTCGTGTTTGGGGACCACAGTGGAGCACTCCGTGAGTTTGAGGACCATGGTGTTACATGCCGGAGAGTAGAAGGACTGTAGGTGTAATTATGTCGCTTTTTTCCCTCACCCATTGCACTCACGGACTCACCTCGCAGACTCTTATTTTCTCCATCTCCCACCTTTTGCACCCTGCGTCCTCCATGCCCTCCCTCCCTGCGACCTTCCTGAATCCTCGAAGACGATGATGAGGGCGATAACACACATATTGGTGATTGTTGGCACAAGGGGGATCTGGTGGCACTGAGAACGCACCGAGGCAACAGAGAAGAGCAGTGACGGAGGAGTGTGTGTGCTCCCTACGCAAGCACGGCGGGGAGGAGTCGCGTAGAGAACCGCTGCATTGGAGCTGCACATCAAGCTCAAGCTGGAGCGTGGGGAAGGGGGGGTCCGGCGGGTGGCCCTGCCACCGCTCCCTTCTACTATGTTCTGGTGTTTCTGCCTAGCGGAAGGAAGGGCGAAAGGGATAGGACCGCCACAGGAGGAGACTGGGGGAGGATGGCATCAGCAAAGGGAGGAAGATAGGCCACCATGGACCTTGACATCCTCGACTACCCCATCTGCTTCACCCCATGTGCCCTCCCATTTTCGTCTTGTATCTAGTTTAATTTTGTTCGCGGGCTAGAAAATATTCATGTGTTTAGCGAGTCGGATTTCAGTAATTGATGTTGAAGTGGACCTCGGGATTCGCACCTTGTATCGTCAAGGCAAAGATCCAAGAGAAATATTACCTTGTCTTCGACGGGACACAGCTAGGGCAGAACCGCACGCTAGAAGACCATGACATCGAGCACGGGTCCATGCTCGTGCTCCAGGAGATGATGCAGATCTACGTGACTGGGCCGTTGATTGGTAGGACCATCACCTTCTAGGTCGACATCCACGACACAATTGGCAACGTCAAGGACAAGATCTAGTAAATGGAGGGCTTTCCCAAGGCCAACCATGCTTTTGTCTATGTGCTCTAAGCAATCTTTGTGAATTACTGCTTATGCCTATACACAAGGAGAGCACAACAGGCTAAGAAAGAAAAAAAGAAGAAAAAAAGTATATATGCACAACTAACAACAATGAAAACTGGAGAGTCGAGACAAAAGAAGATAATGTTTAGAAACGGAGGGAGTATATTGGATGGATGGCTTCTGTATCCATGTCCGGACATCAATCCAGACCGATTTTCGGACAAATACCATGTCCGCTTGCTGGTCAGCGTTGGAGATGCCCTAAGATACAAATGACTGAAAATTAAACTAACAATAACAAAGGAAGATAATTGATCTTCTCTCGATGATAAAAATGATGGACCATGAAATGAAACTATGCTCACTGTAGCTCTGCTCTTAATAACTGATTTCATTCA